ATTTTGATATTTAATAACTCATAAAATAATAAAGATAGATTAAAATTAATAACATAAATGGTTAGATAGACTCAAAAAGTTTCATGACCCTTGTCAATGAACTTCCACGTGTGCCCCCTTCGTCGCACGGAGAATATCAAGTCGATATTCAATTTCACTCCAGTTACCGGCAAGCATGTCGGCATCCACAGAGACTATTGCGGTTGTAATTCTGGCTTTTCGGTCATCCATGTTGACACTCTCCTCCTGTAAACGTTGTCCTTTACAAATATCCAAAGGAAAAAGTAAACATAACATTGCAATAGTTGCCAAAAACAAAAGAGAGAAAAATGCAATTAATAGAGACTTTAGAAGTAGTTTAACTGAAATATATTGAAAAACACCAGCATAAAAAAGATTTGTGGAAAAAAATATACAGTGTCCTTAAATTGATGGTCTTTGCTTTGCTTTACAAAAGGAAACTGTAGTAAAATAAATTAAAAAACATGTAAAAATTTTTTGTGGGTGTGTTTCATACTTAAATTTAGTAACAATTATTACATAACATACATTTTCTCAAAATATTAAAATATTAATTTAATAAAAATACAATTGTTTAGAACGGAGCAAAAAAATGGCTCACATAAGTGATGGGACACTTACTTTTCCATCAAATATTTATCCAAAAATTTTACTTTTTAAAAGGTTTTAATATTTTGTTGGATTTCCTTTTACTTTTAAAACATGATTTAATCTTCTTGGGATGGTTTCGACTAATTTTTTTGTGATTTCTGGAGTGATTTTACCCCATTCTTCTTGAAGCACCGATTTTAATTGTTGTTTTTGAAGAAATGGTGTGTTTGCGAATTCTTGATTCCAATTCTTGCCAAATATTCTCTATGGGATTTAAGTCTGGAGATTGTGGTGGTGTTTTTATTATTTCAGGACAGTTATACAGCAGCCAGAGTCTAACGTTCAAAGCAGTGTGCTTGGGGTCATTGTCCTGGTAGAATTTAAAATCGTTATGAAGGTTCAATTTTCGTGCTGAAGATTTCAAATTTTGATTTAAAATGTCAATATACTTGTACTGATCCATTATACTGTCAATAAAAACAAGATTACCAACTCCAGCGGACGACATACACCCCCATACCATAACTCCTCCTCCACCATGTTTTACTGTTGGCACCAAGTTGTGTTTGTTGGCGTTCTGTTTGCGAAATTCTTCCCTGGGTTTTCTCCACACCAAGATTCTACCGTCAGAACCAAATATATTAAATTTACTCTCATCAGCAAATATAACTTCATTCCAGTAATCAGAATTCTTATTTATGTTGGATTTTGCGAAAGCCAGTCTGAGTTTTCTATTCTTTTCACTTACGAAGAATTTTTTTCCTGGCTGCTCTACCGTGATATCCAGCAGATCGAATTACTCTTCTAATAGTCTCAGGATTAACAATTACTCCATATAATGCTTGTAAATCAGCAGCAACTTTAGGAGCACTCATTCTTGGATTTTTTTTTTAATATTTCGAACGATAATTCGCTTTATTCCATTGGATAGCTTTGATGGTCGGCCAGGTCTTCTTTTATCCTGAATCATATGATTCTTTTTATATCGTTTAATGATATTGAAAACTGTTGAATGACTCATTAACTTAGTTTTTTTTCTTTTTTCCACGTTCAATATGCAAATTAATAACTAATTTTCGAATTTCAGGCAAAGTTTCTTTTCGTTTAGCATTCATGGCTGCACAGAGCTAAAAAACACAAAAATTCCAAAACAAACTGGAGAGAAATACTGCAGACGATTTTATAAATTATTGCCAATTGCTTTTGAGTAAAAATAAAAAAAAAAATATTTTTATTGTAGTACGTAGTAGTATCTAATGGTGTCCCATCACTTATGTGAGCCATTTTTTGCTCCGTTCTAAACAATTGTATTTTTATTAAATTAATATTTTAATATTTTGAGAAAATGTATGTTATGTAATAATTGTTACTAAATTTAAGTATGAAACACACCCACAAAAAATTTTACATGTTTTTTTTAATTTATTTTATTACAGTTTCCTTTTGTAAAGCACAAGTGTCCCATCACTTTTTGGACCTGTATATCTCAAATTTAAATAATAATCCTAATGATACATAAAAATTTGCGTGTCAACTATAATACTTTTAAAGTCGATTTTTATTGTCTAAAAGGATTAACAGTGTTAAAGCATGGTTTTTTTTTAATATTACTATTCTATTACTAACCGTGTCCTCATATATATTTAAAGTTGTCATCAGAAGCCCATGACATGAAGGCCTTTTACTTTTCTAACATAATTCCTTTATTCTCTTTTTCAACTTTTTTCTGTATTTTTAAATTACAAAATTTAAAAACTAGAATTCAACGTTATATTTTTTTTTACTCATATCTGCGAAACAACATTAAAAAAACTATCTGATTACTTTTTGGGGAACTTTTTAGTCTTTTTTAAGAATTAATTGATTTTAAAATTTAATTAAAATAATATTATTTATTCCCATTTTTGTTTTACAAGAGCAGGAATTTACTCAAATTTCATTCAATAAATATGCAATCTTTTTCTATGACTAAAAACTAAAAATAAATTTTCATTGAAATGCTTAAAAGTTTTTCTTTTGGTTTCAAACTTACATATTTAGTAGAAGATTTTAGCTTTTTGACCGATTACTTTCTAGCCAAGGATTTTTTTTAAATTTCGCCAATGAAGCAAAAATGACAAACCTATACATTCCTTACTGTTTCGCATTTCATAGTTTAGACCGGATTCTAATGAGAGTGATCGAAGTTCTTAATTACTTTTTGTGTGTTCTAATTAGGATTTTTCAACTATGTTTTATGAATTCACTCACATCTTAACCATTAATTCACATTTGACACATAAATTCAAAGAAAAAGCAAAGAGGGGGAGAAAGAAAGAAGAAGAAAGCAAAATAAGACTATAGGCAGTCTACAAATATCAGACTATTTGATACTTGCCTGCTAGTATACCCCGGTGATCCTTAAATAAGGACCATCTACGCGAGTCTAAATCTATGCAGCTTTGGCTGGTTAATTTTATATAGCATTAGATTATTTTTATATTTCCTATTTTGAGATAAAGCCCAAGTTGTGGCTTCTTGTACGCCCGAGGGGGGCCATCTGTAAATATGTTTTGAGTTGGAATAAAAATATTCTGAACCCTTCTCCAGAGTCAGCGATAAATCGCTACACAGTTCTTTGGTATTCTAGCTCTCAAAGAATTCTATTTTAGCTATGATATTACAAGATCAACAACAAACTGCTATTTGTGTTTGATGAGCAGATTTCAGTTTTAAGCTAAGCAAATACAAGAAGTCTAATAGCTTAGTAATAATTCCACCAAGAATTTAAAATATGTGGGACACGAAGCTTTATATTTAAAATGAACTGATCAAAACGGCAAAATCAAACAGTAGACAAAATTTGTATGATATATTTCAAAATGCGATTCGATATTATTACACAAATATTATTTCATAGGTAAAATAAAGCAGTGTGCATTATAATATACTATTAATCTATATATGTGTGAAGAAGAATGTTTGTGCTTTTGTTTTTTCGCGATACACTCAGTCACTATTGTAGCTATTGTCACCAAACTTTCTACAACTGATTTCTGGGCCTGAGAAAGGTCGATATCCACTTTTTTGAAAAAAAGAAACTGGATTTAAAGATATTAATTAAGAACTCTGATAAACGCTAATTTTCGCCCTCATTTTTCCGACTGGCAACAGTCTCGCACGCTGGAGATAAAAATCTTTTTATTTCGAAAGTTGTTGCCACTGCTCGCTTTCAAATACTAGAGTTTGTTAACAAAAAATTTATAAGTTTTACAAAGAAATAAAAATAGCATTGTCAAACATTAAATACATTATTTCCGGTTCCAAAAATTCTTGGGAAACCATTTCGCCTGCTTCCATCTTCGTACGACTTTGATCAGCCTAGATATTAATTAAAAACTATGAAAACACTCATTTTCACATACATTTTTCCGAGTGACAACATTCTCTCGCGTTGGATATGAAAATGCTTTTTTTTTTTTTTTTTTTTTTTTTTTTTTTTCGAAACGTGTTGCTACTGCTCGCTTTCAAATCGTAGGTTTGCTAATCAAAAATTTGTAAGTTTTACAAAATCTCTATGTATAAAGAATGTCTGTTTGTGTGTTTGTTTGTTCGCTTTATTATTTCTGATCAATTATAATCCATTTTTTACCACGTTTGATCGACTAAAATTGAATATAGGTGAAATATTGGATGGAACTTGAGCGTTTTCGACTATTTGATCATAAAGACGAAAATCATTGCTGATATAACGAGAGAGAATGAGTTGATTTTTCTATGGAAATTCTTTATGTGGGTTCCATATCGCATAAGAGCGAAAAATATGTGACTATGAATCGTATTTTTTGCATCGTTATTAGAGAAGATTACGGCGGTGTCGTTCGCTCTGTTGTTAGATACATTACTCTCGATCTAACGTAACTGGTATCGGCTATTTCCGTTAGTGTGTAATAAATTTCACGATCAATGCAGACTAAGTTCTATTCTCAGCTTTTAAGCAGTATGATTACCAACAAATACGTCACAGCGTGATAATGCATATGCTTTATGGAGAAGGCTGAAACGGTTAGTGCCAATTGCAAGCGTGAGTTAATGCGTTTTTTACCTCCAGAGTCCATCCATTGCTGATTGACAACATGGTGTTTTAGCGGTTCTTCCACTGTGTAACGTATGTTCAAATTGAAAAGATAAAGTCCTCTTAGAGAATGCTTCACGAAGACATAAAATAATGTGCATGCTTAAATAGATAATTCCGAACATTTTGCCATAATTAATTAATCAGCCTGATTGTCAGCACATTGAGTGACTTTTAATAAAAATTATCCGAATTAAGATGTGATATAATTGATGTCGTTGATATTCTGCTTAAACTTCGCTATAAGCTGTCTAATTGCTTTCTTCTTTTGTAGTGAGTCTGAAGCATGGGCGAAGACGCGGCAAGTAAGCCCAGGAAGGCCATCTTCTCCTTCATCACCCCCGCCACCACCGTCCGCGCATCATACTCTGTACAAAAGCGATCTCTTACGAAAGCACTGCAAAGACATCGATGGTTCGACGAAGGAGAACTTCTCGATACCATGGAGAAAGGAGGTAATTTGTCAAATGGTTCCATTTTTAAAATTCCTTTCAGTTTCTCGGTTGGAGAAATATTGTGTGCAGCATGCGGGTGCGATTACCTGAATTTCCAGATTATTTCTCTCTGCTGTCGAAAGCTTTTAGAGTGATGCATTAGCGTTTCGGAAAATCCCGTCACGCAACTTTGACTACTCATCACGCAAACAGTATTAACTAAAAACAAATTCGTTTTACAGAAACCACGAATAGTATGTGATAAAATGTAAATCTCTTTGTTCTAAAGATTTTATGCATTAGTATCACTCAGGATTTATATCATATAGGACTATACTCTACAGTCTCTTAGTGGAACATTAAATTTAAGGTCAAAAGTTAAAAAATTAAAAAGCTTTGCTAGGAAAACGGAAAACCAGTCCTTGGTGTCAGACCGAAGGTTTTTCCAATAAAATAAAAATACTTTCTAATGGACCAAGGTAAGGTACATTAACTTGTTCCTTAAACGTAGAAAACTAATGTAATTAACAGATAACATGTACAGATCATAAGTGATTTTGCATCGGAGCAGGAGACGTGAAAAATGCGCAGTGCCCTCTCCACGATTCGAACTTTAGATCTCTGACGCTAGCCGGACGTGCCCTCCAATTACACCTCGAAGGTACGCTGTAAGGAAAACTGATGCGGAGAACGCATGACTTCCTTATACGGAATATAAAATTATACGCATTTTTGCAGCATTTCACTGAAACTTATTTCCTCGAATTTCATTAGAGATAGATTTCTCATTCAATTCATTCAGTTTTCACTTCGCGGCAAGGCAAAAATGCATAAAACCTCAAAATAACTTCATTAAAAAATGAAAAATATGGAAAAACATGAAACATCACATACAGTTAAAACAACTTTAAAAGAATTTACAATTAAAGTTTCTACTTAAAAACAAGCTATTCGGCCGGCGGGCAAGAAGCTGGTCTTTTTGCTGCACAAAACTTAAAGTTTACCTTTGGTCCCGCTCGGCAAAAAGACACTGAATGTGCAGAAGCAGACTTAATTCAATATTCTGCTAAGTCTCAAATGTAAAGAAATATGGCAGCTACAGAAAAAAAAAAAAAAAAAAAAATTAGTCTGAGCCACACTTCACAAACTTTTAAATTGTTCATAATTTTACAATTATTACATTCAGATTAACTAAAGGCATAAAAATGTTAGCCGGAAAAGTAAGAACAACATAATTCAATCATTTTTAAAGCAAAAAATACACAATTTACCAATATGTAAGAATAAAAAAAAACTGAGCTCACAGAATCGAGTAACAGAGTGGGTATTTATATACTTTTGGTGCTGCTAGTCGCAACCAAACATTGAAGTGCCCAACTACATGTTATAATAGCCCTATATACTAAATTATAACGCCCTGAGGTGACTCGTTTTTGAGTTATACGGGATATATATAATTTAAGAAAGGGGAACAAACTAAAAAAGATCTTTGTGGTCAAGAATTTTGCGCATTGAGCTGCAAAAATTAGAAAACAAGGTAAGAAGAAAATTCTTCATGCTTTTGCTTAAAGGTCGTTGTGGTACTGTGGTTCCAGTGAAAATTTTTAACACAAGTTAAAATAAAGTGCAATGAAAAGTGTAAATACAAAATAAACGAAATTATCACTAGAATACTTACAATAATAAGCGTATTTAAAACTCAAATCAAATTGGAAGTAATATGTTGATTAAAGTTAAGATAAGTTTTAAACATTTGAACAGAAATACAATAGTTATATAACACATAAGCCGAAATAAAAAAATACAAAAAAAGCGGTAAATGGTAAATTAGCCCAATTTGAATCTCATTATTGACTCTTCAGGAAAAATGCATAATGGTTTTCGAAACCAGCTAATTTCATATCGCGTTTTGTCAAAACAGAAAATCAAGACTGTTCACAAAACTTTTTGAATATTTAACTGATAAAATAACCTAGATAAAAATACTTTAGCCTCAATTTTTCTTTTTCGTTTCCCAACGCGTCCGCTTCTAAAAGTAAATGAAAAACACACTAATGGTATAAAAAAAAACTATACAAACTGGCCTGGTTAGGCAAATGTACAAAATAAAATAAATAGCGAACTGCTATTAATCAATAATACAAGATTTTCAGGGATGATCTAATATATTTTTAGGGAGGACCTAATATATATAAAATTTTCATATGTGTATATTTTAATAGCTTTTCTATATGCTCATTAAAGTGTTTTTAAAATTTTACATTGGAAATAAGAACTTGGATTCTCTGTATCAATCGGCATTTTATCTAGTGATTTATTAATTAATTCATTAATTATCTTAAACTTTACACATTTATCTTGTTTGCATTAATATAGCGCTCCGTTAAGCTTTTTCTGCTTAATTTGCCACAGAAATGGTCCACTCATATACAGTGAAAATTAATTTCCAATTTCAGAGATTTTGCTTTCGTTGGAGGTTTAAAAATATCTTTTATTTTATAAGCCACTTAGCACAGTTTGTTTCCTGTTTTCCCCCAGACACCTCATTACCCATTTCAGTTTCGTTTCATGCTTTCCCGCAGCCACCTCATATATGTGTAAAATAAAAAATATATAAAACAAACTTTTAATTTTACTTTTGCAGTAGTCAGTTAACTTCCCATTTTAAAATGACTAATTTCCCTTCTAAAAACAATAATTACTTATAATAAATCTTTCTCTACTGCATCATTTCAATATGAATTGCTGCCATGTCAATGAGACAGGAATTTGCGTAATGTTTCAGCCAATAATAATTTCAAATTAGAAAACTGACACGTAAAATTAACCAAAAGGAAATAAAACTGAACTAAACCAAAATTAGTTTGAACCGGGTGTTCATTTTAGACACGTTTTATTCTTTCTCTCGCTTCCTATACTGTCGATACGTCAATCTCTGCATTATCAATCTATGTAAAAGGCACAATTGGGATCAAGAACGAACCCTTTGTGTTTATGAAAATTTAACTTGCGTTTTCCATGTTAGGATATATATTAGATTTATACATAATATTGATCCAACATAGGTATTTTGACACAAAAGCTGACTTTTTCTGAAAAAACATACCAATTTTTTTTTCCATATTTCGATTCTACGACTCAAATTATGCCAAATTGCCAAGTTTTGTAAAAATCGCAAGAGTAGTTTTTAGAAAATTAGGCCTCAAAATTTTAGCTCCTTCATATTAATTGAATTTGGTATATACTTATTAATATCTCTTTTTTTATTAAACTTATTTGATTCTTCCTTTCTCATTTCGAAATTTAGGTTCATTCCAAATAAAATTCGCCCATTTTTTATGATTTAATTTTTAAAATTTGTATTTTTGAATAACTTTTATAAATTTTCGAAAAAGAATTTCAACTATAACATAAAACTTTTTGCCATAATCTTAAAGTAGATGTATTTCTAAGCATTCCTGCCAAAAATTAGAGTTTTTTATTCAAAATTTTCTAAGATATAAGGGAATTTATATTTTGGGCCGTTTTGAAGTTTGGCATATTCGTTATAAGTGATAAGAACGCCAAATGTGTTTTACTGATTTTGTTACAATCTCGAGTGAATTGCCACAGCTATATTATCTCCAATTTTTAAATAAATTTGTACAGAAATTAATTATATAGAGAATTTTCCTCAATTTTATTAATGATGCATAATATTTATTAATTTTACATGAAAGGCTATATTTAATTATAAAGAATATCAATCAGATTTTTAACTAATTTGATATAGTTCTTTTGATTACCTTTTTTTTTTTTTTTTTTTTTTTGTTTTCCTTCCTTTGTTGGATGTTTGTAAGAGTAAATTTACACTTTCGCCAAATTATCGTGAAATGGAGAAAGGCTGCCATAAATTAAGAAGTTCTCCAAGTGAATTATTCTTGGCGCAAAATGAAAAAATGTGCCAAGATAAATTTTTAAATTTTCCCATAAATTTCTCACCAAAAATTACAAAACTTAATATATAGGCATAATTTGAGTGGTAGAATCGAAATTCGGGGGGAAAAATGGCATACTATTTCAGAAAAAGTCCGTTTTTTTTTTTTTTTTTTTTTTTTTTTTTTTTTTTTTTTTTTTTTTTTTTTTTTTTTTTTTTATTTTTTTTTTTTATATTTTTTTGCTTCGCTAATATATTTTTTTTGTTTTTCGAGGGAAAACGCCAAGTTGAATTTCGACAATCGGTCCAGTAGAGATATAGAACTGTCCCATTTTTTGTGCAAGGTGTACCTAATTTCTTAGATATGATAGTTAGAAATTTAGAAGAAAGTTTGAGGGCTATTTTATTATATGCAAATCAATCACTTATCAACTCATGTTCTGGACTGCTTCATGAGACGTCAAGTACACTGGGGAAAAAAATTGGGACAGTTCGGTATCTTTCGTTCTACTGGGCCGATTGACAAAATTCAAATTGCGTTTTTCATGTCTCGAAAGCGCGACTTAAGATAATGCTATATATAATTGTAATATATACATATTAGAATTATATATATCATTAGTCTGATATAGGTATTTTGACACAAAATCGGACTTTTTCTGAAATAAAATATCAATTTTTTTCCATATTTCGATTCTACGACTCAAATTATGCCTAGATATCAAATTTTGTAAAATTTCGTGCGAAATTTACGAAGAAATTCAAAACTTTTGTTGGCATATTTTTTTCAGTTTGCGCCAAGAATAATTCACTTGGCGGAATTCTTAATTTGTAGTAACCTACTTACTTTCCTTCTCTTTATTGATGCACGAGAGGAAAAAAAAGGATCATCGTTCATTCTTTCAAATAATTTTAACAAAGTGCGTAAACCACATTTTCGTTATTATCCCTTATATTAAATACACCAAATTTGAAAACGCGCCAAAATGTAAATTTATGTAGAAATACATCTACTTTAAGGAGATGTTAAAAATTTTACAGGTTATAATAAAAAAAAATTTCGAAAGATTTATAAAATATATTTAAAAATACAAACTTTTAAAAT